CCTGTCCAGCACTCCCGCCAAGTTGCTCATGCTTGTCAGCGTATCGGGATGATCAGGCCCTAGCACCTTCTCATACTGCGCCAGCGTCTCCCGGTTCATCGCCTCGGCCTCTTCGTACTTGCCCTGCCTGTCCAGCACTCCCGCCAAGTTGCTCATGCTTGTCAGCGTATCGGGATGATCAGGCCCCAGCACCTTCTCTCTCCGCACCAGCGTCTGCCGGTTCATCGCCTCGGCCTCTTCGTACTTGCCCTGGCTGTTAAGCACTAACGCCAAGTTGGTTATGCTCGTCAGCGTATCGGGATGCTCAGGCCCCAGCACCTTCTCATATTGCGCCAGCGTCTGTCGGTTCATCGCCTCGGCCTCTTCGTACTTGCCCTGCCTATTAAGCACTAACGCCAAGTTGCTCATGCTTGTCAGCGTAGAGGGATGATCAAGCCCCAGCACCTTCTCATATTGCGCCAGCGTCTGCCGGTTCATCGCCTCGGCCTCTTCGTACTTGCCCTGGCTGTCCAGCACTACCGCCAAGTTGCTCATGCTTATCAGCGTATTGGGATGCTCAGGCCCCAGCACCTCCTTCCTCAAGGATGATGCTTTTCGATGCGACATCTCTGCTGATACATATTGCCCCAGTCTCTCTTGACAACTACCTAGTCGTTCTAGGAGCGAAGCACCCATCGCGCCATCTACAGCTTCAACAAGTCCAGCCACGTACGTTGCATGTGGGAGGTACGCGCTCCATACTTCTTTTCCTTCATGCCCGCCGTAGGGCACTAGTTCCTCAACTCGAGCTGCTGCTGTGCCTGCCCAGTCCGCCCGTTCGCCATGGCCTTCCAGCCACCAGATCAACGCCATGTGCACTAGTCGGTGCATGTCAAAAAACCTCTCTTTACTAGATCCTTGCACATTGTGCTGGCGTTCTGTGATGAATGCGTATCCCGTCAACGTTCCGAGTGCTTTCGTCTGCTGCAAAACAGATCCTCCCGGCAGCAACAGCGACAGAGGAATGCTAATACGATCGATGCATGCAATAAACGAGAGGTACTCTGCTGCAAGAGGGTCTTGTCTCCGAATTTGCTCAAAAGAGATGTGCCATGTCTTTGCAATCGTGCTATCCATACTACGGTATCTGCTAGGATCTTCAAAGTGCTCGCTGAAGAGCTCGACTTTCGTGCCAGCATGCTGGAGTAGTGATACGTACTCGGAGACTGGTGTATCATTTTGGTTCATGAAAGCGGCAGCTTGTACGATAGCAAGCGGCAGGCCTGCGAGTGACTCCAGCAATACATCAACCGCCGCCTCATCGTTCAGCAACGCTTGTCTCGTCGTTCGTCGCGACAGCAGCCGCCTGGCCTCGGCCTTGCCCATATCGTTTAGCTCGAGGACATTACCCTGAGTCAAGTCCGTAGCCGCCTTCCTACTGCGAGTTGTGAAAAGAATTGCGCCTCTGTTGCTATGCGGAATATAGTCGATCAATCGAGGGGACTCATGGCTTTCGTCGTCCACTCCCAGTAAGACCTGAGAGTCATCGGCGTTATCAACGACCATTAACCAGTCGCCTACATTTCCTAGGCTTAACGTCTCCTTAACAAGTCGACTCGCGTCTACGTTATTATCGTTGATCCCTGGTATATGAAGACGGACTCCAATCTCACGATACGCAAGCCTGAAACTTTCGGGACTTATAGCTGGCACCCAGAACACTAAGCGTCTAGCGTGTCCCGCAAGTGCGCGGTACGCAAACTCAAGAGCAAGCGCGGATTTTCCACATCCTCCTAATCCATATATAGTCATCCGTCGGTGGGTGTTGGGTGAAAGGAGGGCTCGTTCGATCGACTGAAGCTGGCTCTCTCGTCCGACGAAGAGCTCGTTTCGTGGGAAAGGCAGCGACACCGAGACTACAGGTCATTAGCTGAGCGCGGTCCGTGCAGTGCAATGCTTTCCGAGCCAGGGTCAATACACACAGGACAGGTCTTGCACATCTACAATCTCCCGTCCTTGCTGCCGCTTCTGTATCTCTTCTTTGAGACGCAGCGTCGCATACTCTTCTCCTTCACCATATATGAGCGGCAGGAAGACCCCGAAGATGCCCAGCAAACAGTACACTCTGTCCTCTTTCACCGTTGTTGTACGTTTCGCCGCCCAGCCCGTTCGCTCCTCGACGCTGAACTCGGTAAGCCTTTGGCCTCTAAGCGCATTGATAGGTATGTTAGTAATGCTGTGTATCTCCTGCTCCAGCGAGATCCTGCTGCCTAGCCGCTTGCCGTCCTGGGAGAAGAACTCGACGCTAGCTGGCGCGAGTAGCTCTTGCAGCGTCCAGCCTCGTGTAAACCATCGGCTGCTCTGAAAAGCTTGCTGCCACGATATGCGAAAGGCTTCGGCATTGGCGATCTCATCTGGGACTAGGACGTCTGTCAGGTATACATAGCACTTGACTGCGCGCTGGTACCAGCGAAACATGGAGTTGATCGCTGTGCTCAGCTCGTCGCTCTTGGACTTGTCGATGCAGCAGGTGTCAACCCAGAAGTACTCGAGGCCGTCTGCTGCAGCTCGCTCGCCGCAGAAGCGGATCTTAGCATAGCCGCGCTTGCCCACGCCTGTTCCCGCCAACAGCTCATTGTATGTAACTTCTTGGCCGTCTTTCCAGGTGTGCGAGAGAATAGCGTACGGAGGAACATGGTCGTCGCTGAAAGATGTCAGCTCGAAGCCGCCACCTGCTGAGAGACGCTTGAGAAGGCGCATTGTGTTCCGACATGCTCTGTCTAGGATGCTAGCAAACTCGGTCGCGGTGTGTGGCACAGACGGGCAGAAGTAAAGGGTGCAGGGCAGTAGAAGACGCCTCCGTTGCGCACACACAGGAAGCACGTTAGGTAGGCTGCGAGCAGGCAGTTGACGAGCATGTAAGGCTGCATGGCTGAGAGAGTTCCGCTGTGCTTAGCCGCAAGCTTCATGCACGCATGGCAGTCTCGAGGCGCAGCGAATCTGGGCGCGTGGCAGTGGACTTGCTACACGGCGATTTTTGGGGGCTGATTCTAGGTAGGCAAAGCGCGCATTTCAGTACGATACGATACACAGACATCTGAGCACGCTACTGCAAGCCAAGAGCGGCGATAGCGCTATGCTCGTGCAGACGCGTTTTGGCGATTTTGTTATCTGCGCAGAGAAACTACCGGAAGGCACACTGCTTAGCTTAAATCGATCTTTAGAGAATATGGCCTAGACATTTAAGAGCTAGGCTCTCTTACTAGGCATCTAAGCAGTTAACAGAGATTAGTTATTGCGAGTCGATAGGGGGGTTCTACGACGAGTTTAATCAATAGCAATAATAGATTAGCCTACAGTACGTCTAACACTACGCTCTTCTTTATCAGAGGCTAACAGGCTAGAAGGGTAGTAACTGCAGAATCGATGTGCGTTGAGCTTGACTTAGTACAGTCGCGCTAGCCTGACGCCGAAGGCCCGGAAGAAAAAGTGTCCCGGCACATAGGGCGTCCCGTTACGCAGGGATGGACGTTACCCATCTTATATGGTTTTTTGTTTGAACAATGTTGCAGTGGTGCTGATACTTCCTAGCTAAGCTGGCGCGGTTTGGTGGGCTACGTAAACTGCTTTTTAGTCTGGGGTTTCCAGGCTCACCGATTGACCGAGAGCAAAGATAAGGTCCGTGTAAGCATCAGCAGAACTATCAATGGCAGAATCAGGAGACACATGCACATAGGCTAACCGTCATCCCATCACCATATTCCAAGCAGGTAAAGAAATCAAACGTCCAACGAGATATGCGGTTCCTGTTTTGTGGCTGACGGTATGAGCCGCGAATGGCTTACATGCTCTAACCGCATTCGTTAATCACCGAGCGGGGTTTAATCGCCGAGCGAGGTCGCTTCCGCCTCGGCACCTTTTCACTCCACTGCATCCTTAGTCACCACCAAAGCCATCTCCGTCTAGCCTTGCAGCATTCTGCAGCAAGTGTACGTACTTAGGCTACCACTCCGCCCGCGCTACGCAGTACCCTTTCAAAAATCATTGCCCATCTTGGCGAGCAGGGGCATCAGCCATTATCTAAATTCGCAAGCTTCTCGGAGCTAACGTAGCTATTTTGTTCGAACTCGCTGTGCTTGACCATTGATACTTTGCTATGACGCCGTATGATAACACATCTCAAGCCCCTGTCATTACATCAATGACTATTATTGAGTTAAACAATAAGACAATCTAACTCACTAGAGTCTCGAAGCGTACGATTAATGGTATATTCCCTCGAGCTGTTAAACGCATTTGGATGTTCGCTAGTCAAGAATGTCATTTATGTATTTATTAATGATTTTGCCTTCTCCTACTTCGAGGTCGGTTTGAGCATCACCCCACGGCTTTATGGCCACATAATGCCGTCACCCATAATCTTTGCCTTGCGCATATCGGTGCGTACATCCAGAGGGTAATCCTGTGGCGCAAGGTCTCTCCTCCATTGCTTCATTCTCCTACTCAGAGCCTCTTCTCTACCGTTCAACTCGCGCTTGGTCAGGCTATTTGTTGGATATCCGCCAAAGTCACCAGCGATGCAGTGGCTTTTACCTCCCCAGGTGCTATCTGCGGCCGCCTTCCAGATAGCGGTAATATCAACAGTCATTTGCTTGGTGTACAGGATGCGACAATCAGCTGGCTCGTAGACGAATTGCAGTGGAGTATCCGTCTCGTCGCCGTCACGAATGCCGTCTCGGAAATTGATGTTGATTGATGAACCAATGGCGAGACGATCGAAGGGAACAGAAGACCAATATTGGTTTAGCTCAGTATTGTTGAGCTGCGCTACCTCGTCGGCCGAAGAGGTGGTGTTGAGAACCGCAAATTGAGCAAGCGACTGGATATAGGTCCAAGGAAGGTTGTTGGTGCCTTTGACGCCACCCACGGCTTGTGTGATACCCTCACGAGGGCGACCACCAAGCGAGATGTACTTGACACCAGCACGTTGGCGCATAAGCTCGGAGAAAATGGTGCAAGTAGATGCGCAGTACCCGTCAGTTATGACAACAATGTCCTCAGCAGCGAACGGTTGTTCAGTATAGTTGGATAGAGGACCATGGCCGTGAACGTAGATGCCGCCTGAGTTTTGGGTGATCAACGTATCGTTCAGGTTCCAGCGGAAAAGGTTTGTAAAGTTGTCACCCTTGATATGAAGGGGACCAAATTTGTCCTTCCAACTGGTGAAGGGTTCCTCATCAAGATTCAGATCTGTGCGATAGTTGAAGGCGGAAGATACGATATTGCCCTGGAGGTCGTACAGTGTTTCGTTTTGTTCTGGAGTGACTGGCTCTCTTGTCACGCCTTCAGCAGCTTTTGAGAATTGCTGGCCAATGAGATCCGTTGATTCGAAAGCACGGAATCGATCGGCTGCTGCGTGGTCGATGTCATTAGGGAAAAGGAGTGAATAGAGGTCGTATCCCAGCAGGATGGTACCACCACCATTTGCCTGAACGTCAATGACGAGCTTCTTCTTTCCTGCAGTCTTGGCTGCGGAGAGGAATTGTACAGCAGTGGCTTGGAATTGTTCCTGAGCATCGATGCCCACAAATGAAGGAACGGACAGAACGGCAACATCGGAGTACTCGTCTTCCAGGAAGTACCCACCAATCAGGTTGTGGCTTTCACGAATAACTGGTGGTGGGTAGCCAGGAGCCGGGATTGTTGGTGTGGCGGATGCAGAGGCGGTTGCCGAAGGAGTTGGTGTAGTAGAGTTGGAAGGAGCAGGATCTTCAGTCTCGGTAGGTTGGTTGCCGGTAAACCAAAGCTTGTAGAGGCTCTCGCCATCAGTGATACCTTTGAATGGTATCAAGACCTTGGCAAAGTTTTCATAGGTTTGGCTGGTGCCATTAGCAAAATCAAGCGTGGTGGTAGCCCCAGGGTAGATCTGTCACGAGTCAGCAGCTAGCTCATGGAAGCTTCATGTGGATTTATCTACATACCCAGCGACCTCTCCCCGACCCAGCAAAAGTGCCGATGCCAGATCCAGTGGGGCCAAGTGATACAGTAGCAAGTTCATAGAAAACATTGTTGTAAAGAGCATCCCGGTCTTGGAGAGAGCCATACTGTGCCCAGCTTTCGAGGTATTCCTGAGCATTTTGACCATTAATCTTTGTGATGGGAGATGCATTGAAGGTTGCGTTGCCAAAAGACTCAGCCAAGACATCAGCATAGACGTAGGCTTTTGGTAGTTCCTTGCCATCTGACGAGGCTGAAACAAGAGGAACTGGGCGTGCAAAAGTGAAGACGGTTCCTAGGATGTCGGGCACGTAGACGAAATGGCCATCGTGTGTGGTTTGGAGAAGACGATAGAGCTCGAAGCCGAACTGCGACATGGGTAAGCCCTTCAACCTCTACTTTGTGCACCGAAGACATACCTCATATTCGTTCTCATACTTGCTCTCGACCACTTTTTCTCTTATCTTGTCAAGCCCACCCCAGATGTCGACACCAGGTTGCACTTTTTCAGCGTACTCTTTGGGGGGATCCTTTAGCCAGACAGTGTTGCTCTGCCATCGGAAATAGGGCACCACACCGTCGACAAGTGCAAGGGCAGCAGACTGGTTGAATGGAACTGAAGTAAGGCAATCGTAGGCCAACTGTGCAGGGATGGTGGGCACAGCAGCTGTTTGAGTTGCAACCGAGCTGGCTACTTGAGCACACGGGCTTGTTGCATTGTATTGAGGCGCATGTAAAGGCGAGGCGAGAGCACCTGAAGCGAGGGACAGAGCCGCAATGCTCTTGGTGATGCGTGCCATTGCTGCGACTTGACGCGACCCGAAGAAGAGCAATTTCAAACTTGGGCTACATGAAGAATGTAGGGCAGGGACGAGCATTTATATCCACTCCGGGCGGTAGCTGCACTACAAGGGACGAGGAAATGGCGCCATTTGTTGATGGAATAGACATAAGATAGCGGCAGGTGCTTGGTAGTGTCGACTCCATATTCCGCGAACGATGAGGCAATATGGTGGATAGCAACGGATCGCAAGGCTCGCGCTGCATTAGTGTATCGCTCAATCGGGAAGGCGCCATGTGGATATTGCACAATGCCGGCTTGGATCTCTTGTTGGCGGGTTGAGCAGAGCTGCCAAAGTAGGCAAAGATCAGGTGAGCACGACCGGCTGGGTGGATGCAAACGAACAGGTTCCTTGACGAGTTGGTCTTGTGGTGGACTTGATCGAGTCGCGTTCTGAGTGTGGAGTTGGTCCGCTTACTTACATGAATGCTGTGCCACTACGCTGGAGACTACATGTGTGTTAAAGGCATCACGGGGCACACGACATGAACTAGGGAGAATAAAAAATGCAAGCTTTAAATGAAGCCTCACAAGCATCGCCGTTTTGCAGCCACTAGTCGTACTCGGTTCTTAGTGTCGAAATCAGTTTAGGCTGAAAGAGGCAGGTAAGTATATTTCTTATCGGGTCCGCCCCCGGTCACCGGCCCGCCCTCCAACAAGAATACCATTTGCAATTCCCGCAGCCACTTATTATTATCGACATAGGGGCAAGTCGCCGCGCTCAATCAATAACAAGACAACTGCAACTTGCGCATGGGAGACGGCCCTCTAGAACTTCGCCCCAACAGGCCCACGTCCAATGATGTTCCGAAACTGCAAGCCACAGTGATCTTCCGGACACGTTTTGAGCCTGTTTTCTACTTATATTCTTGTGGCATACATATGTATGTATATATGTATGTAAATAGGTGCTTACCAGACA